GAGTCCCGGCGAGGGCACTGCCCTTTTTTCCCATACCCTGCTTCAAAAATAACCTAATGACTCTATATTGGTGCTTGAACTAAAAAGATGGTGGATGATGATTCTTCACTACCGGGATTTGTAGATTGGGTCCCCTAATCTTCAGTCGCTTTTTAAAAGGGGAAGTATATCAGGTATTTTCTCCCTCATTCCAACATGCCTTCGTAGCGTAACGGTTAGCACACTCGGCGCGTATAAGAGAGATCCAGGTTCGAGTCCCGGTGAGGGCATTGCTCATTTTTCGTCTCCATCGAAATAACCTAAAATCTCTGAAAGTTAAACAAAATCATTAACACACTTTTTTTTTTGTTAAATTCCATTAGATTATTTAAATTGTGTTTGATAACGAGAGTTAATTAGAGAATTTTCAATATTAAAATCTGGTGTAGTTAACATTTCAAACTTTTTGAATAAAACTGGAAGTGAACTACTAATGTTTTGTAGCGTTAGCTATGAGGAATTATCGCATTCTCCGTACCTGCTCTGGTGATGGAAATGATTAGTACGTCCAGCGGACAACTGAAAGCTCCGTGGTTAGAATACGGTTGATTAGAATACGGCACAGTTGATTTTTCATTTTTCCACCTTCAAAAATCATAATGGCCCGTATAAAGTCGCCATCTGAATAAAATATTACATGGGTTTTAACGCATGTAATATATTTTCCTCGCACAACCTCTGCCAGGTAACCAAGATAGTTCGTGCGGTTTTCGACACTCATCGCAAACAGCCCACAAAAATCTTAAACACCCATTTTATTTTTCTAAATAATCACCACTGGCTTCAGTTACATGTTCTCAACGAGATACAAGCTTATAAATTTCCTTTTTGAAAAAATCATTTATTCTGGAGTCTAAAAATTGTGATACAGCCTTTGTGACATCGTCCGGTTTTTGGAACTGCTTTCCCGCTGTGGTCATCCATGGCTAAAAACAGGTAATAGTGTGATGGGACGCTGTCCGGGAAATAGAATCGCCCTGAGTTAGAACTTCCCAACCCAGTGTTTTGATCATCTCTTTGGTCGCTTTTGCCCTATGAGGCATGGCATTATCGTGGAGGAGAACTCCCCTTTTATTGACCAGTACTGGCTGCTTCTGGTGCAGTGCAGCTGAAATTTTTTTCAGCTGTGACGAATAGATCTAGGCTGTTGTTGTTTTTTCACTTTCTAGATATTCATAGCGGACTAGAGCGCTAGATATTCTAGCGCTGGTCCTCCAAACACACAGCATTAACATTTTTGATTAATGTCCGGTTTAGCAGTGAATGAGATAGAACCAGAAGTTGACCAACGATGTTTCCTCTTCCAGTTACCATAAATGATTCATTTTTCGTCGCATGTCAAGATTTGGTCGAGGAACGAGGCTTTATTATGACGCGATAGCAACGACAAGCAGATGTTCAATCGTTGGAGCTTATTTTCCTCAGACAGGACATGAGGAACCCACCTTAATTTCCATGGCATTCCAAAGTTGTCAAAATGTGATCTAATGGCTTCGCTGGACTTGAGTACATTCTTTTGCAACAGTTCCAATATCTGTTACTTTTGGGGGGAGGATCTTAGACTGTTTGCAGTTTGTTTTTTTTTTAGCTTCTATGCACAGATGGACGTTGAAGCAGATGCACAGATGCACTTCTGTCAAATGTTGAAGTTACAGCTTAGCGACTTTCAGAAATAAGATGGAGTGCGTTCTACGAAGCTGTTAATCCTGTGTTTAAGTGCTTTAAGAAGATTATCAATGCCACTGAGGAACTGTGTGATGCTTCGGAAACGACTGAAACCAGAGGAGTAGCTCAAACACTGTTTTATGTTTATGGAATAACATCTAGAAGCAGTCACGTTCAAAAGTATTTACAGATTCTTGGACTAAACTTCGAGAAGTATGTTATCAAGATGAAAAATCTAAAGGACTTTTCAAAAGAAATGATTTTGTTGAGGAAAGAACAGTTATTTGCTAAAGACACATGCGGGGAAATGGGCATTCCTGTGTAGTATAACTGTCAGGAAGAAGAAAATTATGCCCGGAGAGAAGGCTGCAGACAAGCCACTGACTTTGGACCAAGAACTGAATGAAGATCGATGTTAAAGTGCATTGACGAGTTTCAACAAGAAATCGAAACACGTTGCGAAAGCATCGAGAGCATATATTCTGGTGGTGACGAATTATCGTCCATCACCTTTTAGTTAGGACGCCACTTGCAGAGTCACTAGATTTTTTGAGGCAGGAGACTTAAAAAGTATGCAATCGCCAGGACTCGAACCTTGGACCTCTAGAACACACGTCGAGTTTGTACGAGTTCAGTCAAACCTTGTATAAGCTTTCCGAGTTTGTATAAGGTTTGCTGAAAATTACAATGTGTTGTCTGCAGACGGTATCCTTACAGAAATTCCACGTTTGAAGAAGATTTCTAAAAGCCTCCAAAGTTCGAAAAAAAAAGTCTCTTGATTTGACTTCCTTAAGATATTTGGAGTTTATGGTTGAGTATAACTTTTTTGTTTCTTTTACTGAATCTCTCTTAAGATTTTTCTTATGTGTGTCTGTTGCATCATGTGAGAGGAGGTTTTCTAAACTAAGATCTTAAACTAATTAAGAATTATCTCAGATCCAGAATGAGCAAAGCAAGACTCTCTAGTCAGCCATTTTGTCAACTGAAAATAGTGCAGCTAAAAGTATATTTTGATGACGCAATCTCAAAATTTGCACAACAAAAAGTTAGAAAGAAGATATTTTAAGTATCTGTAGAAGTAAAATTTATTGGATTAGAGCTTAGGAAATGAAACTTTCAAACAGTTTAGTTTTCATTAAATTGTATTATAAATAGTAATAAATTTATGCTGTAGAAAACTCACTATAAAAAAGATTTCTTACACTGTATATTAAACTGGCTTTTTAATAAAAAGGTATTTTACTTGTTTCTTTTTCATTCGTAAATTCTGTTTGCAAAATAATTAACATTATACCCTCTTTACTTGTTATCAACTGCATTAAAAATTGTTTGCTCAAAAAATTTCATTTAATATTTTGGTGGACATGCGGGTGACAACTAAAACTCCGCACCGGGGGCCACCAGAGCTTGCTACGATACTGGGAAGGGAAGGGGAATTCTAGCACGTTCATTGCGCTTCATATCTCGCTGAACTTTCAACTGTCGAATCTTCGAATTTATCAAATCTTGATTTGTGAATTCCTGAAATCTCAAATAAAAAAGATTCGAAAACTCGACTCTTCGCGCAATTTTTTATCAATAGAATTCTTAGCGAAAAAAACTGCTAAACATTTTAATTCTCAAACTTTAGAAAAACTTAGATTCAAAACTTTAGAAATATTAGAACCACTAACGTAAAAAAAAAAAAAAAAAAAAAAAAAAAAAAAAAAAAAAAAAATACGAAAAAAGAATGAAGAAAGCGAATGCTGCAATTTAGCGCACCTGAACCACTAGCGCCACAATCCTTTTAATCTTATTTTTTATTTTTGGAGAGTATTCTGTTAATCATATCTAGAGTTTACTTGTGTTTCCTTTGATTTTAATCTTTTTCAAGATTACAAAAAAAAAAAAAAAAAAAAAAAAAAAAAAAAAAAAAAGATAAAAATCTGAAAGGTTTTAGATTTTAAATTACGACCAAAGGGGCTTTTTTTTAACATTTTGTCCGTTACCTTTATTTATTAAATATTGCGTCCTGAAAATTCAGTTCAAGAGCATTATCGCAAAACAGTTTTAAATTGAGCATATCCTTTAGAATTTCCGATATGCAGTCTCACGCGCTGGAGATAAAAATGTTTTTTCTGTACAACGTTGCCATTGCTCGCTTTGAAATCCTTGAGTTTGTTAATTGAAAATTCGTTAAAGATTTACAAAATATGAAATCGATTATTAAACAAATTACAAATTTCAAATTTGGGCTTCCCCATGCCCATATTCGCAGGAAGATTTCGTCATTCAAAATTGTTTTATCACAATGCGAGAAACATACATACATTTATGCAGATTTTTCATTATTTAATTTCTTAAAATATAAATCGGAACTTTAACATTTGGTGGCAACAGTTTGAAAAGTGAAACGGACATTTATAGTGAACCAACGCAAAATCGCAAAAATGAAAACAATATTCCTTCAGGAACAAAGCCCCTTTTTACTAAATACTGAACCATTTCTGAAATATTTTTCGTCAAATTATATTGAGCAAATGAAACTCGAGATTCAAGAGTCTTAATCACATTATTTATTAAGTTTTATTTGTATGTTTTTAGTAAATATTAGTGTATTTTTAATATATTATATATTTATTATTTTTTTTTCATGAAATGCAGATTTTAAATTTTACTTTCATCAAAATTTAAAGTAGTACCTTTTTTATTTTTATTTTTTCCCCTTATTGTCCTGTTTACTCGCGTAATAGTCTCACTTTTTTTACCAGATTTTTATTGTGAAAGTCTGGGTGCGACTATTAGTTGAGGAAATCTACTACATGATATTGTACAAATTTGACGATTGTTTCTGCTTCAGAACGAGGGTGTGACTATTATGCGAGTAGACACGGTAATTATTATACATTTCTTAATATGACGTATTCTTATATCTAAGAGTTCGAGAGATTGGAGAACTTTTCAGCATTCGGATTTGAGAAAATTTAGTATTCGTCGCATCTCTAATTAAAATTAATTTAATTCAATCAGTGACAAATTGAGCTAAAATTCGATATCGAAGTTTTTCATGTTAAAAGCGTTGAAACATATAATCTAGGTTTAAAGATTTATATTTTTCGAAATATTTCTTTGAAATCTCTAGACTTTATTTAATTTCTGACTTCTTATCGTGCTTTAAAAATTTATTCGTTGCGAAAAAAAGAAATCGAACTGGGGAAAAGTACTATTCTTATATAGGGAATTTTACATTCAGAAATTCCCTACGGCATGAACTGTTCAACTGTCATGCTGGGAAGATTCTCCCACAGGCGCGTCGATCCACCATGCGAACGAGAACTCGCGAGATGTTGGCTTGAAAAATCGTAGCTGGCTGTATCGTGCGCTTCAGCCAGCCAACCAATATGGCCGTTACTGTGTGCACCCGGTTTAGCGATAACTATGAACTAAAGGAAGAGTTGGGCAAGTAAGTGCATCTTATTTTATACTATTTTTCGATTAATGAGAGTTTCAAATATAATATGTGATATTTAGGGTTGTATTTGCGCTGCTCAGGGGCTTAGATGCATCAGTTTCTTGACCTGGTATTCGCTGATGCTTGAATCCGATAGTAGAAGTGTGAGTGGAGTATATTGAAAGTAGGGCAACCCCCCCTCGTAACGTACCACACGTAGTTTCTTCTGGTGTGATATTGTAAACAGAGCGTATCCCACCGAAACGTGTTTCCTAGAATGGGCATGCTTGTTTTGACGTTGATATGGGTTTTATTTTTATAGCGGATAATAAATTGTAAATAGGAAATACCAGAAATCATTTGTGAACGATAATCATGATATTCCTTTTTCATAGTATTAAATATCGTAACAATTAGAAAATTATTCTGAACTTCTAAAACGTACTGATAGTAGAAAACAGTAATATTCTGATATACAATTTATAAAATAAAATTGTCAGTTTTTGATGTGAATAAAATATATTCTCTTTCTTAGGCAATCAGAGAATTTTTTTAAACATTATATGTCAATGATTCTGGTGTTAATATGGGTCGAGAAAGACTCTTATAGTATTGGAAAAAAAAAAAAATATAAATTCACTCTACCTGCACAAAAATAAATCACAGAGATTAATAGGTTTGAAACTATCTCAGCATTAAGTCATAATTTTTTTTAAATCAAATTCATGATTTGGTCATGTCATATGCTAAAATTAAAAGGAAAGTGAAAAATAATAATGGCAGCCTGCATTTAATTTAAATATTAATTAATACCAGAATTAGACTTTTAAACTTTCTGGAATATTTGCATTAATTTTTAATAATATTTTTTATGAATATGAAAAATTTATGAATAAAATTTTTCATTTGTATGAATGGTAGAAAATTAGTAATTTTAATATTTTAAATTTTATTTTATTTTCCAAACATACATATTTATTCCACACAGAAAGAATATTTTTAGCAAATAATGTACTCACACACATCTGATGTAGTCTTCTAAAAACAACAGTAATACAAATCTACATTTTTTATGTTTGTGTGAAGAAATATAACATTGGCATAGCCATATTTGGCTGTTAATAATGTTCTAAATTTATCATACTAAATGAAATATTTTTGTTTATATTTAATTATAACATTAGTTCTTGGAACATAATTTTCATAATATAATGGTTGAAATTTTCTTTAAAAAAATTAAAGGGTATTTTTGCCCTTTAATTTTTAAATACCTGTATATTTGTAGACTAATATGGTTTCATTTGTCAATTATTTAAAATTTTATTTCCAGTACTTTGATTATTAAAACAGCATGAAAATTTTGAGGTATATACTGCATGGTAGTTTTTGCTTATGATAATATTTTTACTTTAAAAAAAGAAAAATATTCATATGAGTATTACACTCTACATGTCTGCTATCAATTTTTTAAAAATTTGTAATTTTATTTATATATTTCATGCAAAATTTCATTCATAGAGAAAGACAATTTCTTTATATTCTTAAAATGAATTTTTTTTTTTTTTTTTTTTTTTTTTTTGTATTTTAAAAATTTGTACGAATGTAGTGATTAATTGTAGTGAAAAACATGTTTCTGTTACTTGAATAAATCAATTTCATAATTGTTAATTATGCTATATTATTAATGTGTAAATATCAATTAAGCAGAACTGAATTAATCCATAGTTTTACATCCATTACTGTTGGAAAAATCAACAACAAAAGAAATATATTAATAGTACATTACAAGACAGTTACAAGTAACTAGGGTATTATGATTAGTAGATAATGGGGCTTATTATGAGATAATAGGCCATAAGATTACTTCATGATTTGTTTTCTTATTTATATTATAGTTAAATTTTAATGAATAGTGTTTTTTTTTTTTTTTTTTTTTTTTTTTTGTCTGTAGCATATTATAATTTGATAACATGATACTTAGAGACCACAAATAGCACAAATATTTGATAGCTTTGATATTGTCATTCGAAGCTCTGAAATTACTTGAGTGTGAATTATAGTCTGCGTATGAATGTTTATACTTTACTGTGTACTGTATGTTGTATTTATAAAAGTTATTTATGAATTTTTTTTGGATGTAATGTTTTTGTAAAATAATTAATGTAATATCTTTTTCGATAAATGTGCATATTGTTGTTTTTTCAGAAAAATTTTAAATAAATAGAGAAAGAAAAATGTTAAGACTGTATTTGATGCTAATGAAGAAAAGTTAATCTAAATTGTCATTTGATATCTTTTTATGAAAATTAAGAGTATGCATTCAAAAATTAATTTTAGAAGATCCATAACTTAAAGGTAGATCAAAAGATAATTTTTATAACATGTTAAATAATTACAAGGCTAGGACTCATTGGTGTAACATGTTAAATAATTACAAGGCTAGGACTCATTGGTATAACATGTTAAATAATTACAAGACTAGGACTCATTGGTATAACATGTGAATAATTTATTTTCTTGTTTTCAGAAAAAGAATAAAGCCCATTCTTGAACAATTTTGTTATATTGTTGTTTAGTTTTTAATAGGCTGCTTTGATCCAATGTTAAGAATCTGCTTTGAGCATCAGTTTATGTTTATAAGCAAGCATTCCTTTTCAAATATGATTAAAGGAAATTTTACTGTAACCTGAACTGTGCCTTCTGCTTTAAGTCTGATTCTGTCTATCTGTCAGAGTTTTAAATTTTCATCAGAATCTTTATTATTTTAAGGTTTTAAGTATAATTAATTGATTTTTTTTAAAACTGCCTACACTATTCATACATTAACAAACATGATAATGAACTTATATAGATATTCAGTAGGGGTAAGGTGACATCATGAAGAAAGTTTAAAAAAAAAATTGAAAAAAGTCATTCAAATTAGTAAAGTAATTTTGCAAGGCTCATAACTTAAAGGTAGATCAAAAGATAATTTGTTAAAAAGATAATTTGTTAAAATTATCTTTTTAACAAATTATCTTTGAAAATATAGGTAGAAATTTATTACATGAAACTGCTGACTGGTGCAATTATTTTTCAACCTAAATTCTATAATAATTTGATCATATAATACATTGTTGCATCATATAGCATAACAGTTTAAATGGGCAGGAGCTATGTACTAGTGATATATTTAAAGTTTCCTTTTTAATATTCCAATAGCTACTGCTTTAAGCATTTAAGATTTATTAAAATGTTTATGTAGGTTTTTAATTTTTTTTCTAATTTTCTATTAAATACCATATTATATTATGAGTGATTAAAATTGTTTTGGAAGACAGAAATGAATATAATTACAATAAACATGTTGTAACAAAATATCATTTATATAATGCAGTAGCTTTGCATAAAGAATTTAAGAATGTTTTGAATATATGTGTTGCATTGAGCATTTAGGAAAACAGGGTTTAATCAAAATTCTGTGTATGAAGCATTATTATAATCCTACTGCTACATTGAATAAACTATTCACTGGTATGGTGCAGTGTTACAGAAGAGAAACCTGTTAGTGTATAAGCAGAAGCATTTTGCATCTGACAGCTTACGATAGCTATTGCAGAATAATGTAGAATTATAATAACATAGTATTCCATTATATGTCTACTGAAGTCCACGATGTTCATGAGGATCCAGCAATATTATTTAGCCAGTATTTTGTCGGCAGATAGTGCCTTAAAAAATTTTAATGCAGTGTATTTTTTATGAATAAGTATTTATTATAGTTAGGACTGAAAGTTAAATCTCCAGTATAATTCATACCTAAGGGGTACTAATTATATATCAAAATTAAAGCGACAAAAAAGAATGCATCTATTTTATTATCTTTAACGTTAACTATGTCTAATGATTGTAATTATTCTTTCTTTCTTTTTTAATTTAATTTATTCATTTATTTACTTTCTGTTGAAAGCAATTTGATGTCATCAGGTACTTGTTAGATTCACATCATTTTGAACAAAATGTTTTGATATGAAAGTTTCTGTTTACTTTTTTCTATACAGGTTTTATATTTTCTCGTGTTGTGTTCTTATGAAATAAAAGGATCTTCTCGTGTTTAAATAGCAAGAATAATTTAAACAATTTATATATTAATAATTTCTTTTAATTTAAATAAAAATTGACTAGTACTTCAAATAGACATTTTAATAAATTGAAGTTTTTGTAGTTTTAAAAACTAAAAGTTCATAAAGTTCAATTACTTGTGTTACTTAAATATACCACATTTTGTATTAACCCGTAACAGGGGAGGTGAAAAAGTTGAACATAACGAGACATGTGGTCTGAAAGACTGCACATTATAATAAATTTTTAAAAATCGTCTAATTAAAATATCATCACGATATTTCACTTAAATGTTCTTTGAACATTTTACTCTGAAAAGAAAATACGTTTTTACACTTTAAAGTGAAATTAAATTTTTCCCAGAAAATTTCCCCATAGCCTTAATTTTTTCGATGAAAATATGCTGCACTAAATTCTATAAAACTAAAAATAAGAATGCATCTATTTTGAATTAACTATTTTATCTATATTATTTAATATTTAAAGCAAATTTTAACCAGAGAAAATTGTATGTAGCACAATACAGAAAAATTTTGACAGTACCTGAAGTATCAGTATCTCACTGATTTTCTGATAGTAAACAATTTAGTTTTCGTCTTCTTTAGCACATTCATTGCATAACTTTAGCGTGCATTCCAAACAAACAGGGTCTTGGCAAGATAAACATAAATATGCTGTCTTTCTTTTCTTGCTTGGGAGGGGGGGCACAGATGACATGTTTTCCTTGATTTTAATTTTGCTTCTTTTGTGCACTGCTCCACATCCTTAGACTCAGCTTCTTTTCCTAAAATCTGCTTTATCGTCAGGGGCAATTCTTGATTTATTCTTGGATTTTTCACTCTCGTGTGTAGTAGTGGTTGGACTAATTCTCTGCTAATTCTTTCAAAACACCATTCTGGTCATACAGGTTTTGGTTATACCTTGGTGCAATATGTAATGCGTTACTATACTCATATCTACTAACCAGTAGAAAAGAGCCATAGGCCAACGTGTTGTTCTCCTACTACAGGAATGGACAGAACATTTTTCATCTAAAGCGTCAACACCACTTTGGTTCTGTTATAAAAAGCAATTATTTCAGGTTTCTGTGTTTCCGAGTCTGTTTCTATCGAATGATACAATGATGACATCACAACCACTGCTCGCCTTTTCTTTGGAACAAATGAAATCAAGGATATGTCCTTAGTAAATCCATACAATGTTGAATTCTCTTTTCTTGACTTACATGGAAGAGAATCTTTTGGAATTTCTTTTTTATTTTTTTTAACAGTTCCAAGGTATGTCAGTCCATTTTTCAACAATTCTGTGGTAAGTTCTATGGAAGAAAACCAATTGTCTGCTGTTACATTCCTGTTCGTATTAAAAATTGGTTTGCTCAAACGCAGAACAGCTTGACTTGGTTTGCTGAATTTTTTCCAACTCTCTTCTACGCTAATTTCATCAGAGTCTTTTCCACAATAAAGATATGCATTGTAAGCATAATTATTCTGGGCATCAGTCAAACACATAACTTTTAATCCATATTTCACAGGCGTTTGGGGCATGTACATTTTAAAGTAACACTTTCCTCTGAATCCAACAAGCATTTCATCAATGCAGACGCAAGTGCCTAATGTGTACGCTTTCTGGGAGTTATAAATGAATAAATTCATCACTTCAGAAATAAGTGCTGCCGGATCAGATTTCTTTCGTTTTTTCCTATCATCTGGGTTATCACATTGCAAATTTGAAAGTAAAAATTTAAAACATTTCATTGACATAATTGCATGAAAAATCACTGCGGCCAGTTCCATCCGGGGCAAATAAAAATTCAATATCTTCATGATTGGATTTGAAGACTGATGTGTAAATACGTAAACCCAAAAGAGCTCTCAGATCATCAACACAGGTGTAGTCAATTTCACCTTTAATTGGACCACATATATATTTTTATTTTTCTTTCAATTTTTAGATTTGTCCATTTCACAATTATGCTTTTAAAGTTCGTCAGTAAAAAGTAGTTGCCATACATTTTTGGGATCTGAATTACCAATTTTTCCGTAAGGTCTTAGTCTAGGAAGTCTTACGATATTGTGAGCTGGCTTTCTAACTTTTCGATTTGGTTCAACGGATGACCATTTGAACCGATTTTTTCCATAGTAGTATTTTATGGAATTAGCTGTTTCTAGATCAGAGAAATCATTGCTGTCTGCAGAAAATTCAATGTCTGTTAAGTGGGCACTTTTTTGCAGAAATTTTCTTCACAGTCATCTTCTTCACTAAAATCACTTCCATTTTCGTCTTGAATTTTTTTCAGTTCTTCTGCATAACGCGGATCAGAAGGATAAATGAATCTCCGTTGACCTAACTTCAGAGCCATGTGTTCACTACTTCCGAAAATTGTAACACTGAGAGGGAGGTAAGGTCTCACAGACCGCTCTAGAAGAATTTCAACAGATACACTTGCCAAAGCATTCCTATAAAAAGGGGTCAGAAAGAAGGTCACGAAACGTGAAGCTAGGGGAAGAATTCATTCAATTGGACAAAGCATGCAATAGGGGTGATGAGAGGAACATGTGGCGCGGTCCGTCAGACCGCACATCCCATTACGGGTTAATGAAAAAAGTTACTGACATAAATAATAAGTCTTCCCCCCCCTAAATTTTGTATGTTTGTTTGCTTTAAATATTTGCTTAACTGCACTATGCCTTAGAATTTTTATTCTTTCTTAAACATTCAGACCCAGAACTGAAAACATTGGATTTATGTACATCTTTTTAACTCGTAATTTTTATTTCTTGTATTTTTAATTTTTACACTGCTGAAAAAGGCTCTCTTTTGAAAACTCAAAAGAATGAGTAAAAAGTGTTTTAACACAGAAATTAAACTGTATGACAGGAAATATGATATATCTTAGTGTGTAAAAATTGACATGTTTTTAAAATTTTCTGTCAGTTTTCATTTAACCCATACATCAAGTTTAATGAAACTTTGCAATACAGATATATAATGTATTTTAATTGTTTCTACTTTTATATTAAGTCATATCAGAATTGATTCAACTTGAAGTACAGGAATCATCAATATTAAATTATTGTACTTTTATGCACTTTAAGTACACTTAATATTATGTTTTTATTCTAACTCTTTTTCTTTTAGTTGATATATAAGCTGGAGTTACAATTCTTTTATTGTTTGTTTCACTTATTTTCATTCCAGGGGTGCATTTTCCATTGTTAGAAGATGTGTTCAAAAGAATACTGGATTAGAATTTGCTGCAAAAATAATTAACACTAAGAAATTGTCTGCTAGAGGTAATTGTTAATTTTTCAGTTTAAATTAATATCTCAGTTTAGATCAAATAGATTAGGTTTAACAGTAAGAATAATTATTATGAACCCTGTCATGGTGATCACCTCTAAAGCGCCCAGTGCTTATGAAAATATTTTTAAAAAATGAACTTTTCTGCTTGTAATATTATTTGCTGCAGCAATCTCTGCAGAATAGCACATTGAGCTGTGAGTGGTCACTTTAAAAAGGTGTCACTATATATGGATTTTAATACACAAATATCAATAGATTTCTGTCGCTTTATAAAAATACAGCATTTTATAAAACTCAATGTATATTGAAGTGGTGTAAAACTAATAAGTAGGTAACTGTTAATTTACCTGGAAAATACATTTTAGTGCTTTCAGGCATCCCCCCCCCAAAAAAAAAAATTAGAAGAAAAAAAAATATTTATTCTTATACCAAATATTAAATAAATAAATTGTTGTCTATTTATTTATTTTGTGTGTGTATGTGTAGTTGTTAGTAGTTGTTGTTACAAGATAATTACCTTCACCTCCTACTATGGAATCTGATTTCTTAGCATAACATAACATGGGCAATGGCATTACCCCGTAGTTTTACAGGGTTTTCTCCCTCTTCTCAATTTTAGTATACTGTATTTATAATTCTATTTTTTGGTGAAATGCGTTTGTCATATCGCTCTTGCTTTTAGTAACTAACTTTTGTGTCTTATTTTTGCTCTTGAAACATGTATGTGAATGGGGGGGGGGGGAAGCCTGTTCGGACATAATGTAAAATCTGCAAGCTTTCAAATTTTTTTATTTATTATTTTAAATTTCAGTTATTTGCCGAAATAATATAGGGTATGGCATTATGCAGACTATGATCATGTAATTTTTCTCAATTTAAAATTTCCCCCTTTTTTATTGAATAAGCTTACCCTTGCACTGCTTATCTTAATAAGCATATTCTAAATGCATGTTCATCCCAGTCTGATAATAATCGACATATAAGAGAAAATTGAAAAATATGTTTTTTTCAAATAATGTGAAAAAATTGGGATACCATAATACGAACAGCCTTGAGTTTTTAATTAAAAGAAATAAAACAGGTATAAATTTTTAATTGAAAATAACAAATAAATTTTTAAAGGTTTGTCGTAAAGTCTGATTATCCAATAAATGTTTTCAATTGAAAATGCACTATGACTGCATTTACTTGATGGCTAATCTATGATGCAAATAAAAGTTCCATTTATGTTGCTAATCAGGTATCTTATGATTAACAGATTTGAAATTGTATTAAAATAATGGGCAAGTAATGTCATACATATCAAACATGATTAGAACATCAGGGTTTTACTGCAGAATTTAAGCGTTAAATGCCACAGTTTAAGGATATGAGGATTATTCTTTAAAGCATGTAGATTAATCACTGTAATTTCAAGAAAATGTATGGCATTAAATATGCATTTAATGACCTTAATTTTGCTTTATCATAATCTTTTTCTTTTAACTTCATTAATTTACTTGTGTTTATTTTAAACTGAAAAAAATAAAAACTAAATGTGTTAATGTGTTAATATTATTATGTATGATTTTTGTATGTATTTCCATGGAATTTACACTTTTAATTTCATAAAGTGCTGTTTTACTTAATTAAAGAAAGTAATAACAATGAATGCCTATTTGGATCAGTGCAACAGGTACAGGTAGAAGTGGGCAAGATTCCAGAATTTCACCATTGGTCACGTGGGTATTTTCCCACAGCACTAATTATGCAGCTCCACCCGTTCTGTTTTTATGAAGAAAGCCCCACATGATCTGAGAGACTGCTATCATTCTTCCCCTCCTATCAAACCACTTGAGAGGACTTTTCAGCTCATCTATATTTTAAGTGCCCCCATGCCACACAGACACTATACAGAAAAGGATGAAACAATAAAACTGAAATGTGTGCATTTATTTTTTATTAATTAATAAAAGAATTTTGTTACAACTTACAAGATCACCAGAATTCAGAAGTTTATTGAATGCTTTGAAAAGTAGTCTAAGAAACAAAGCAGTTAGGAAACTGCCATCAAAATACTAATACAATTTATTTTTTCATTTTCTTTTGATTAAAAGTAAAATTAAGTAAGCAAATTGACATTGTCTTTTAAAATAGTCTGTTGTGTTATTCACTTTTGCATTCAATTCATTCATTTTTTATTATGCAATTCTTGTATTCTTTGAATAAGAAAGATATATAACAAATTGCGCTAGTGTATGAATTTATGAGTCTGTTCTTTTAGATTTAATTAACATTTATTTATTTATTTTAAGAAATATGTATGTAGCTACGTACCAATAGTTTATTTTGTGAAATGTAATAACATGTAATGTGTTATAGTATTGCCCTCTTGTGCTAATTGTCTACTTCTTATATTTCACTTGTCGAATCTACGAATCCAAATAAATAAGATATCAAAATAATTATGATATTAGGGAATGAACCAACTATAAAAATGCAAATTAATGTCATTCTTTTTACTCATTGAAACATTTTGATACATTCGAGAATATGAGTTTTGTTTTTTATTTATTTTACGATGCAGCTTTAGGGTTCTTAATTTATTACACATATTATTTTTCCATTATTGTTAATTTATTTATAATATTTAATAATGATAAATTGAGAAGTATTATTATTTTTTTAATAGTGTGTTTAAATTATATCTGTGCTGGGTGGGAATGGGGAAGAAAACTGTTGCTGTGTGCATCTTTTTTCTATGAGGTTTAGGTATTTCACAGTTTTTATCATTAAAAATGAAAAACAAATTAATATGCCTTTAATTAAGCATTCATCTTCAGAACTTTTTAAAATGCAATCCTGTCTTTCCTGCTGTTCAGTGTATATTTATGTGCAAAATTGAGAGAATTTGTGCATTATCTTTAATTTCTGAAAAACTAATGGACAGATTTTAATGAAATTTGGTATGAATATACATTTATAACAGAAAAAGAGATGTACCATTCAGGAATTCATTATCAGTAAAGCTCATAGTGCTGGGATGTCCAAAATGAGTGTTGTGATATTGAACTGAAAGTGAGTCATGGGGTGGGGTGCCCTCTTGTTGCCAGACAGAATGATATCACACTGGACAGGAAGCAACTGAGAAGTCCCTAGGACAATCAATCCCAGTTCTGCAGCAAGGCAGTTTTCAACTTTGGGATGGCTTTTGGAGAGAGAAGGCAAGATGAAATTGCCTTCTGAGCATCTGAGACATGCTAGATTTCTGAAGAGAATTTGGTCAGGAATTCTAGCTGGCCAATCCATCCGGTGAATATTCTTGCTTTTCAGGTAATTGTTGACTACCTGAGCCATATATTAATGAGCATTGTCATCCATTAACTAAAACCTAAGACCAACTGTTCTCCTGAAAAGTTGAACATGGAGCTGTGAGATCTCTTCTGACATTTTGTATACCTCATAGTAGTCAGGGAGCTTTTGTCAAACACATGTTGGGGTGTGCAGATGTCCAAGCCATTACACTGCTATAACTGCTGTAAATAATCTTTTCCTCCAGTGCTCAATTGTAGTCTAATTTAAGACACATGTTGTCTGCACCATGCTAAGTGTGCTATCTTGTGTGCTGCAGTGAATGGAATGCAAACAATGAGTCTTCTGGCAAACAATAATCTCATACCTATACAGGTTGTGCAAGTGTATGGCATACTGGACAGGTAACAGTTGAGGAGCCCCTCTGTGGCAGTTTATCGCACTCTTGCAGAAAAGCAATTTTTAACTCTGAAATGGGAATGGAGAGATGCAATTGTCCTCCCAAAAGTACTAAACATGCTTTATAGGGTTAAGAGCAGGATGTCTGGTTGGCCAGTCTATGTAGTGAATATCCTCATTTCCCAGGTAATTTATTACCAGTTGAGACCTGTGTACAAGTGTTGTCCATTAACAGGAATCCAGAACCACATCAACCCTGAGGGCTCAAAGCAGTCAGAGAGCCTTTGTCAAACTCATCCAACATGAAGCCTTTGGGCAACTGTAGACTGTGAAACTCAAGTTTCAGTGGCAGCATGAAGCTCATGTGAGAACTGTTAAGCTGTAGCAGTCTGATTGCTGTGCTAAAACATGCCAAATCATGACCCTCATCCGTTGTTGTGGATCTTGGCTGGCATTGTCCCGGTCTTCTCGATGTGGATCCAGTGTCCTGAAACTATTCTCATGAATTACAGATGACACTGAGTATTACATTCGGTTCTGTAGCCATCTGTGCTTGTGATTGTCCTGCCTCTGTTATACCAATAAATCTCCATCTAATTCTGTCATTCATACATTTGTGGCTACTCATTTTACCTTATAATATTTACCCAACTCTTGCAAGAAACATGACGAATATCGTGAAGGAGTATGAGCACACAAATTGCCAGATAACCCTCATACGATAATATCCCCTCCGCAACCATAGCTCTGCAATTCCACACAGCTCCTTATATATTTGACTCTGAATTATTTGTACAAATCTTTGGTGTCATAATTAGTACCTTTGATTCAATACTTTTTGTAAAAATAGACAAATTTGCAAATTCTTTTAATTTGCACATTATGAAGTAATAAGTCTGGGACTGTAATCTTCAAAACTGTTTCATAGAAGAGAAAAATTTAAGGCTGAATTTACTTGAAATTAATTAAAAATTGGCTTAATTAAAAGGCATCATAATTTAAATTAAAAACATAATTTTTTTAATATATTTAATGACATATTTTCCATTTAAATGTAAAATATTAAGAATAGTTTTAGCTCATATAGTTTTCAGTCATCTTTTTTTGTTGATTGTTATTTTTAATAAATTTAAAATTTTTTTGAATGTTTATTTTAATAATTTTATGTCTTAATGCATATGTGTTAACAATAAATTGATTTTGGAGAATTTTTGTACTTTATATTGTGCTTAATGATTTGATTTCACAGCATATTTGTTGTAATAAAAATGAATATAAAATAAATAAATAAAAATGAAAGTGTGATTAAAAGAACATGTTAACTGGAGAAACTTTTGAATGTAAGTAATAAATAATAGATGGATGCGATGCGATGCTGTTTATATAATTTTTACTTGTTTACGGTATGGAATTGGGAAAATTTAGTAAGAAGATGCAAATATCTAGATTTTATAGACGGGGGGGGGGGAATTTGTGTGAGTACTTTTCTGTTAACAAGGCGCCAGTCGCCAAATGTGCGCCAAACATAAAAGCTGGCGCAAAAACTAAACTAGATGACGGCAACTTTAACTACATGTAAAGCTTCATGGGAAAAAAAATGAACTTGTAATAACGGTAATGAATCATATAATGTATAAAATGTTTAATGAGCAGAATGCTGAATTTGTGCAATTCTGTGATGTTTTCGCTTAAGAAAACAGAATAAGTATCGATGTAGTAATTAGATATCGCGCACTCCCTTAGCATTGTGACCACATTTGGTGCTTTCGCGCACATTTGACGACTAACGCCCGCTAACCTGAAAATACCGCTCTGAGTTATTTTTAAACTTCTGTGTCTTTACTATTGTTGATAGCTCAAATGTTTGAAGTAATTAATAATTATGCATATTATTTTTAATATTTATATAACTAATCCGGTGAATAATTCGTATAAATGTTGATTTTCTCACTACATGAATTCGTTTTTCAAAGGAAAGGGAAGAAAAGTTTCAACAACTCAACTTTAGAATCAATTATTTGAGGAAGAGAGTTAACAGAAATTTTCCTTGAAAATAGCAATTTAATAATTTTTGGTCTGTCTGAAAATTAGATTTCATCGATTATTTTATAGCATGTTTAAGTAAATATATGTTTGTGTAAGTTACATGTTTAGAATCGCATAAAACAAACGTAAACAAAAGACTGCTTTTCGTTAAACAATCTTCTGCTGTTAATATGATACAGAAAACAAGACTACGCGCAACACATTCGCTTAATAGTTGTATTGTTTGCTCCAGTCTAGAATGCATTCAAAATTTATCCACTAATCAAGTCTACCTTTCACAGTAATTTCATTCTGCTAAGTATAGTGGTGGTTCAGAACTGTTTATAACTAAATATCGTGCGTCTTTATATCATTTTTATGTTTTATTCTGAAACTTTACTTTTATTTCTTTTTATCTGTGTATGTCAGTAAAGTAGAGTGCTCATTGTTTTCCACCGTTTTATAGAGTTGGTTGTATTTATTATTGAATGTTTGAAGTTCTATGCCTTATTTAATGAGCATGGCTTCCCATTCGAAACTTCTGTCTCTAAAATATGAGAGCTTATGCTCAATCTTGGTTAAACGTTCACACTAAGTATGTTGTAAGATGCTTGCTTGTTGTCTGTCCTAAACATTGATTTCTTTCGAGATTTATTATTACGTGGAGGGTTGTGCCCGCGATTGAAAAGTTTCCAGGATTTTTAAATTACAATGATTGTTTGTGTAGTTAACCCATTTCGTTACTAAGTGCATCAGATATAGTGGAAAAGATTTTTTTGGTACTTTTCCGTTTCGCCGTCGCAAATCTCGCCAAGGAGACTTTATTGGCGACAACACACAGTATACGCATAAAAAATTTTAACAAATGTTAGTTCTAAGAATTTTTTTATTTTGGAGGCATAAGTATTTTAATATCGTTTAAATTTTTGGTACTTTTCCGTTTCGCCGGCGCAAATCTCGCCAAGCATACTTTGTTGGCGACAACATACAGTCAGTATACACATAAAAAATGTTAACAAAAGTTAGTTCTCAGAATTTTTTATTTTGAAGGCATAAACATTTTAATATGCTTTAAAATTTTGTAAAAAGCCAATAAATAAAGACAATAAATTTGTAAAAAGACATTAATTCAAGTATTTACTATGCTATCATGGTTCAACATCCTGATTCGCCGGTTCGTATCATGCAATCCCAAGTGATCTCATCTCACGTAAACTACGCTACAAAAATATAATTCTCTCAGTAACTATCTACATTAATTTCAAGTGAAATCTTAATTTGGAATACAAGTTTAAATGCAAGAATTATTTCAATTCGTACGAATAGCTTACTCAAAAATTATGTAAAACCGCAGTGCTTTACTTCGTTAGTGCATTCTAATTAGAATTGATGAATATAACCCTTGATTTTGCCTTTTCTATACTTTCGCCTTCGGGTGAGCGGTGTGTTTGCATCCTAATTGACATTGTAATTGCATGCCAGTATTGAAAGAAACAATCAATTTGGTAAGAAACGGCTGCGACTTGTTTTGAAAATGAGGCGTAAAAGGTTACCATCGAGTATATTCCGTTTGGCATCAGGTGTACCATTATTGGCGAGTATCGTTTGCGCCGGCAAAACGGAAAAGTACCAAATTTTTTTCAAATGGGTCTTTTGCGTCCTTTCGCCACATAAATTCGGCGAGGTAACTTTCCAGATGGTGACGTGCCTTTCCTCTGTGTTTCGTATTCCGCCATTTGGCGCTACCCTATACTCTTTCTTTGTGTGTGTAGGTTCCAGTTTCCATATCTACAAAATTGTATTTATGCTTCACTTTGAAATGTTCGAAACTTTGCTCTTCTAGATTTTCAGGGCCCACCAGCGGCTGAGCGGTAAAGTCGCTCAACACTGGTAGTTCGGTCCGAGGTTTGAATCCCGCGAAGGGCTGGCTGCATGTGTGTTTTCGTGGTTTTCCATGTGTAACGTGTATACGAGCCAGTTCCCCTTAGAAAGTCCTCCACGAAGGCATCCTTCCCCTTAGGCAGATAGCCCTAGTGTGCTTTGCCGTAATCTCAATAAACCAAACCATCCAGATTTTCAGTGCAGTATGATTTCCATGAATCGAAATATATCGTAGTTCCTTTTTCGATAGTTTCCTTTTGCTTCTAATATAATAGTCATGCATTCGGTTTGGCACTTCGACGATAAACTTAATTTTGAACGCCAAGATGGGGAAAGCCGTGTTGCGCGAAAATTGCAGAATCCAAATCAAAAAAATTAATAAAGGAATAAAATAGGTACGTAAACAGTGGGTACAAAAAGTATTTGCACACATACATTTTTGTTCACAATTTATAAGAAAATGCATTAAGAAATACAAAAATTGGCATTTAAAAAATAGAATAAGCTTATTCATTTAAATTAATTAAAAAAAAAAATACAATAATATTAATAAAAAACATTTTTTGCAACAATATTAAAATAGCTTATGTCAAAAAAGTATTTGCACACTCAACTCAACTTTAGCAAATTTGCATTTTTATGCTATTATTTGACAGTCATCCCGCAGTAAATAACATACGTAAGACGACTATAAAAGGAGGTGTTGTCGAAACGTTATCAGTTGATTGTCGATTTCAAATTGTAATGGCACCTAAGAAATCTGAATTGCCGATTTCGTTGCGAGAAAAAATTGTTTCTCTACGTGAAAATGGCCTAAGTTATCGAGAAATAGGTAAAAAAGTAAATGTTTGCTTCTCTACTGTTCGGTATATTATAAAACGTCATAAAGAAAGAGGATCTACATCAAATAACTTGCGCTCTGGACGCCCAAAGAAACTTTCACTGCGAATAAAGCGAAAAATCATAAGAGAAGCATCGAAAAATCCATTTGTTAGTGCAATTACTTTAGCCAATGATGTCGCTTCAACATCTGGAGTTCAAATCTGTGCCCAAAGTGTTCGAAATGTCCTGCACGATGCACACATTTATGGGAGATCACCAAGGAAAAAAAAACCTCTCATAACTGAACGAAATAGACTGAAGAGACTTGAATTCGCTAAGGAATATATCAATATGCCAATTGATTTCTGGAAAAATGTCGTATTCTCCGACGAGAGTTCAATATCTTTTTAACGAGAGTTCAATATCTTTAAATCAGATGGCAGGAAATTAGTTTGGAGAAAACCTTGTACTGCTTTTCATACCAAAAATGTGTTACCTACAGTTAAACATGGAGGAGGTTCTGTTATGATTTGGGGGTGCATGGCTAGCAAAGGAGTTGGTAATTTGTGTTTCATTGATGGGAATATGACAGCTCGAACCTATATTGATGTGTTGCGAGATAACTTGCCACAAAGTGCAATAAAATTGGGTATCAGTAATTCGTACTATTTTCAGCAAGACAATGATCCCAAGCACACTGCCGGTATAACACGTATGTGGTTGCTTTATAATGTACCCAGAAAACTTGCCACTCCACCACAATCACCAGACTTAAATCCTTTGGAAAATTTGTGGAATTCTTTGGATTTAAAAATAAGAAAAAGGAAGATTTCAAGCAAATCTGCCCTTAAACAAGCCCTTATTGAAGAGTGGTCGAATACTGACCCTACTGTTACAGAAAATTTAATTAAATCAATGCCAGCAAGATTACAAGCAGTAATAGATGCTAAAGGAATGCATACTAAATATTAGTTATTTGAAATTTGCTTATATATTTTATTTCTTTTGTATTCATGCAGGTGTGCAAATACTTTTTTGATACGAGATATTTTAATTTTGTTACAAAAAAGCATTGTTATTTATATTATTGTAATTTTTCTGTTTGTTTTGGATGATTAAACTTATTCTGATTTGGCAATACCAATTTTTTTATTTCTTAATGCTTCTTTTTATGAATTGCAAACAAAAATGTAGGTGTGCAAATACTTTT